AAGTTTTTTTGCGTTTTTATCTACAAAGAAAGCCCCAGTTTTTCATTATAATCCTATTTTTTTCTGAATTCGAACAGTACGTATGTTATTAACTAGTTTAACCTCTCTTTTAGTGTGTTTTTACGTATTTACGTTCAGTATTGTCTTTCATATTGCTCAAAATTTTCAACTTGTTGTTTTGCGAGCTGTCAAACTGAAATGATACTGTCTTCTATTAACTCTTGAACAGTAGTTTGAACAGTAGTGAACTGTTGCTGAAACTTATATAAGTTCTGTCAATCAATTCAATTCACAGGTATCGTTTTATCTGCTAAATCAAATAAAACAGTTATGAGTTGTTTTATATGAAAAGTTAAACTTGTAGTTCGATGTTTTGAAAAGTTTTCACACCGATTTTAACAACAAAAACAAATGTAAACTAACACTGGATTTAATACAATGCCTATAATAGTGTTTTTATTAGTATTTTCAAGATTAATATTTTATTTTCATATCAAACAAGTCAGAAATATCTGTTTTCTTATGTATTGTAAGCCAAAAAGTTGAAATCACTATAAATCACACGCTACAATTTACACGCATGCGCAGATCGTGCTCATGTCGAGTCGATTTTTTTTCATGCTGGCCACGCCGATTTTAGCGGTGATTTTCTCGTGTTTTCTTTGGTGAATTTTTTTTAAACTTTGTATTTTTGTTATACAAGACGAGTGGTACAACATATCCAAATTTTAAGAAATTCTACAAATAACTTTTTCTGTAACCATCATTCACGAATATCTCGAAAACTTATTTGTAAATTCCCTTTAAATTTTGATATGTTTTTCCTTCATGGCCCATAAATCTTCAAAAAAAATTTCAGAAAAATTCACCGAAGGAAAATATATATATTGTCAATTTATTGTGAAATTAGACAATAAAAGTGCAAAAGATTAAACGTCATGGTTGCCATGGCAACACAAACACTGTTTTAATTTGTTCACAAATGGACAGCACACAGGTTCTGAACTTTCCTGGAAATGATCATATTGCCTTGTCTTAAGTGTATCTAATATAAATTCGGTTCAAAGCAAACGATACCCAAAATACCTAGAATTTTAGAGAACTGTAGGGAGCCACATTAAATAAGTGGAGTTATCGCATAAATGGTTCTCTACGGCTTTGGTCTTATTTATTTGCTATAGCTATAATGTTGTTTTGGTTGTTTTTGTTTTAATATGCAAGGCATTAAATTTTACGTTGTTTCAAGTTTCTGGCATGTGTAGTTAGACTTTTTGTCCAAAATTTCTTATTTAAGACGCGACTTAAATAAGAACAGCTAAAAGACCTGTTCTTATGTAAGACGCGTCTTATCCAAGAAAAAGGAGATTAAGTTGTCTAGTTAAAAGTTATTTTGAATGCAAATTTTGTATAGGAATTTTATAATATAGTATGTTATATCTTATATAGTACTAGTTGTTAAACTATGGTAACCTACTGTAAAGCAGCAGTGAAAAATGCAACTGTTGCTGACAAGAATCAAACATATTGCCCCGCAATTCTGGTGCAGCACTCCGTCCAACTGAAAACAGAGTCGAGTTTTTGAGTATTGTGTAGAACTTTCCGGAAAATATCCATAACCCCCCTGCCCACATATTGGGGAGGGGTGTCATTACATCAAAATTCAAAATTCTGTATTTCCAGACGGTATTCAAATACAAAATTAGCCTGCATAGCCAGCCCTCATTTTAATACTGACACTAGGTTGTTACTCAAGTTTCATGCCCATTGGCAATCTTCAGACAACTAAAAGTTCTAAAAATGTCTATAATCCCCTGCCCCATATATTCTAAAAATATCCATAACACCCTGCCCCACATATTGGGGAGGGGGTCATATACAGTATACAGTATATTGACTGCAAGTCTGTCTGTACTAAGGCAATGCCATGGATATATGGACTTTTATGGGTAAATATTAATACATGTTCAGGAATCAGGCCTAACCTTCAGCGGCTGCATAGCATGCCTCTGTTGGCCTCTGGCGGGAATTCTGTCAGGTACAGCTCTCTAACCAAGTGAACTACAGAGTCCATGAACTTGAACAATGAAATGAGTCTGGCTAATAATACTGTGAGCCACTCTGCATCTGGACTCAGAGATACATGAGCATGCAATTAATGCTTGCCAACTGATCTCTGTAGCTTAGTTAAAGTACTGCACCGGATTGATGCAGGTTAATTGATTCCTGTTAAAGCAGTTCAGATTCCCAACAATTTGGTAATGAATTCGGGCTGGCTTTTGTCACTGTATCAAAGGGTCAATAGTTGTATTTTTTATAACATGTCTCTAAAAAGTCTAAAAGTTTATAAAATTTATGTTCCAAATTTCCACCTATTATTATTATTATTTAACAATATTTCTGTTGGAAGCTTCACTCATTAAATGTGGACAAAAACCTTTGTCAAGTGAGATGCCCAAAATCCTTAATGTATTATTAATATGCACGAATTGCAGCTAATGCTGAGGAACTTGGCAGTGCCACGGCCGTGGGTTCAATTCCTACCAGAGGACCTTGTGCTGCATTTTTTGCAGTCGTTCCTGGTCAGGTCTTAAAATGTATATATATACTCATTTGGATTACAAACCCTAAGAACAGCATTCAAATATTAATACCACCAAGTGAAGTGCAAGAAACCAGATCATTGAAGTCCACCTTATCTCAACTCACACACCCGATCACCTATATATATATATGTACATGAACTTACGGTTACAGCTCAACAGCTCGCCTCTGTAGCTCAGTTGGTTAGAGTGCTGCACTGGAATCGCAGGGCCGTGGGTTCAATTCCTACCAGAGGACCTTGTGCTGCATTTTTCGCAGTCGTTCCTGGTCAGGTCTTAAAATGTATATATATACTCACTTGGATTACAAACCCTAAGAACAGCATTCAAATATTAATACCACCAAGTGAAGTGCAAGAAACCAGATCATATATTGAAGTCTACCTTAGATTGCCTTTTTAGACTACTTCATACTTTACCTATATACCTGCATGCAGCTTAGACTCGGTAACTCATTCATTAGGTATATATGTTTATATCATAGGAGTGGTCTTATATTCACAGAATGGTGTGCTAATAAAAAACTAATTTAAACTAATTATAAACTGAATATATAGTGAGGTTATAGAGTATTCCTCGCCTGATTTTTTAAGCCAATGTTTAGAAATACTATGCCTTAATACCTGAATAAAATAGACCTTAATAAAATATACTTTGATAAAATATATGCAAATAACTAAAATATATATCTTTATCAAGCAGCAATAGGATCCATGTGTAGACTTCACATTTGATCAAACGTGACTGCGCTATATACTGTATTATAGCATCAGTTTTTTATGGTGATAATTGTAGAGTCAAGTCATGCTTTTATTGTAAAAACGAATGATTGGTATCGCCCGGTTTATTCATTTGTTGCTTAAAGTGGTCGCTGCCACCAAAGTCGCATACCAAATCTGTAAACGTGTAGTTATATAATTATTATTAGGCAACTGTTCTTTTGAAGCCGCCAATTTTAGTCAAATACAGGCTTCTCGTTCGCTGCGCTCACTCTTGAGATATCATGTTCAACAGTCGAAGCAAATCTGGTATTTCCGAGCATCCATGAGATTATTCTCTATGTTATATAGGTATGGATAAGAATGCTATGTGGATACACATAATGGTATAAATAATGCAAAAAATTCGTCGAATGCAATTAAGACAATAGATAATGAGATGATAAACCTCATTAAGCTTCATTATCTATTGTTTGAATTGCATTCGACGCGACCGAAATTCGACGTATATAAGTCTGAATTATTTCATGCCAACATATTGGCGTGAAAACCTATTATGTTGTTACACATGTTTGACAAAATTTGCGCATGTTTGAAATATCTCACTAAACCGTAAAATTACGGGACATGCTACTCTTGGCAAGAACGCCTAGGCGATTGTGGAATTTGGAGAAAATTATGGATTTTTTAAAGTATTATAAAAAAACCTTCAATCGAATATCCCTGTATATAATATTTCGTGTTATTTGAAAGTGTCAGAATTTCTGCCGGATACTTTGGAGTTTGGACGTCAGCATGGTCTCTGCAGTTTTCAGTGTATTTGTGATTTAGATGCATTTGAAAGTGTCCGAATTTCTGATACTTTCGGTAGTCTGCGGTCTTTGCAGTTTTCAGTGTATTTGTGATTTAGCCGCATTTGAAGGTATCAGAATTTCTGATACTTTCGGTAGTCTGCGGTCTCTGCAGTTTTCAATGTATTTGTGATTTAGATGCATTTGAAAGTGTCAGAATTTCTGATACTTTCGGTAGTCTGCGGTCTCTGCAGTTTTCAGTGTATTTGTGATTTAGAATCATTTGAAAGTGTCAGAATTTCTGATACTTTGGACTTCTAGTTTCTGCAGTGTCAGGTCTCGGCTGCTTTAATAAGAGTACCTAAACTATATAGAAAACATTGTATCACACTTTTATATATTTCCTACCCAATGGAGTGTTGCAAATTTCGTTATTTATCCAAGGTGGTTTTGAAATCATAAGATATTGTCGCATGTATTGCAGATATTAGGAGTTTTTTACGGAGGCGATATTTTTTATCTGCAAAATTGGGCTGTTTTGAACGAAAAGTTTTTGGAGTCAGCAAAATGTTGTAAATAAGGCTGTTTTTGTCGAAAAAAAATTATTTTGGAAAATGCAAAGATAGTTTGGAATGCGTTATATAGTTTGAATTGTATTTGTAGTAATACTGAAACTTGCTGGAGATAATCAGAAGCAGAATAACTATAAATGAGCCAAGTTTCAATCGGGTATCTTCAATATAGCCAATTAAAGTTGTTAAAGATGGTCTACAGTCCGTTCTGTGCATGTGCGGAGTTTGTTTATTTCCCGGGGTCCCCGCTGTGAGCAGAGTTTCTCTCCCCAGTCTTATTCCCATTCTAAGCGCGCATTATTTATATCACATTACAAAATGTCTGACGCTGCGAAGAGCGATCCAAAACCTTCGAGCTCGAATCCTTCTAGTTCGGGCACAAATACTGAGAAAAAAGCGAGCAGGAAAGATTATTACGCTAGAAGGGACGCTTCAAGAGTGTATTTGTTTGAGAATTTTGTTCCATGGAGGGAATTCAAGAAGAAACATGGCTTGAAGACAGACGCAGATGTTGCCGAAATGCTTCTTGAAAATTTCGACGCTACGAAATCCTCACGGGCTTTGTGGTAAGTATTTCGTGTGTATAAGTTTTGACATTAAAAACTTTCACTTTTATTGTTATTTACTCGGAGATTGCATCTTTTCAGCGACGTTGAAACTCAGACTGAGGAAGCGAATGTTGAGACAATGGAGCTATTGTCTGGCATCAGCAGCGTGAAATCAACAACACGGGAAAGTCAAGTTCCTCCCAGTTTACCTTCACCAAGTGAGCGAACGTGTTTTTTGCTTTCTAATATTTACGTGTTTTAGACTGTTATTACTGTATGTGGCGTTTTTTAAATTTTCTTATAATCTTCGTTCTTTCCAAAGTTGTGACCTCAACGCCAGGACCATGGACTCGACTGCACGTCGTCGATTGTTGAGTGAAAGTTCACCAGTAACTGCCAAGTCTTCTAGTTCAAGGTGTGTATATAAAATGAGTGAGACTAAATAAATATTAGATGACTAACAAAACTATTATATTTTTTCCCTGGCACTCAAACCCACAAAATTGGCCTCTAGCTAGGATTCATGTTAACCTTTGAGTTGTCAGTTGAAACTGATTTCCCCACCCATGGCTTGTTAGGAGTGTTGTATTTCATGTATGTCAACACAATATTCAAATAAAAGCTAAAAAGGTTGACTGACATGATATGACCATTTTTTTGCATGGAAATATATTATTGTATTTTCCTACATTTACCCATTAAGCTGCAGAGCTTCCCCATTGACCAGTAAATTCGTCTGGCATTAGACAAGTAAAAAAAAGTAGGGCACACTTGGGCACATTACGGCTCAATGGGTGAATTGAGATATTGTCAGATTTTTTGATTAACCCATAAAGCTGCAGAGCTTCCCCATTGACGAGTAAAATCATCTGACATTAAAAAAATTAGTAGGGAGCACTGCGGCTATATGGGTTAAGTACTTTTCTCACACACCGCTGGGAGCTGCTGCAGCGTCAGCCGCAAGCTTGACATTTATTAATAATAATAATAATAATAATGATTTTATTACAGTATTTCCACGTGAGTGGCTCTTCATCTGTAAAAAAAAACTACATACTGTATTATACTACAATTGTCATAACATAGAAAGGTTCTATAAGTTATTAACATGCATATGTTATTAACATACATTTATTCAATTACCATACAATTAATTGCTCACTACATAATAACTATAAGAAGTACGGTACTATAATCACATCCAAAGCCATATTGTTTCCCAAATCACTACTATAAAACTAAATGGGCTGGGTGGGTGGGATACTGAACATTAAGCTATGGTGAGCAACAACAAAAATATGCTCATATAACCTGCACCACTCTGTAACACCCTGATTTCATCAGGCCCCCAGCAGTGTGTGAGAAAACATTTTCCGCTTCTTTCGTGCCTCAGCCAGCGGAAAATAAGACATCTTTTTTGTGTGATCAACAAATTCCCCATCAAACAAATTCCCTATTGCACATTGGGAGCTATTTCATGTACAGTATTTATACTCATTCACTGACACACCAGTGATTAAATGTTTCTAAAATGGTGTTACTTGCACTGTCAGAACTGGTTTATATGGGATTGCCCCTGATTGTGAATATAAAATACACTGGCATTGTTGTCTGCAGTGATGTGTGTGATTTACTGTGTGCCAATGCATATTCATCAACATGACTTGTGTCTTCATTTTAGATCTTTAGATCCTCTTCAAGAGGAGACACTGACTGCCAATGAAAGTGATGAAGATATGGAAATTACAATGACAGCAAAAACTATTTCCCCTAGCAATGAAAGGTAAGATTAACCTTTAAACATGCAATGTGTCCATATGCATCCTTTAGCATTTTACTCATCAAGGGAAGAGTATTGCATGTCAATGGCCAGTAATGGGTTAAAACTTTGCAGTTCAATGGTGATGAAGTGAAAAATTATGATCTCTATGACTATATATCTGTATTTTGTACAAACTTATATAAACCACTCATAAAGTAATGTAGTGTATAATGGTAACATATGCATTATTTATAATGGTAACATGTTCATTTATGCAGTTGCCAGAGTAGACTAAGACTCCATTTGAAACTGTATTTACTTGTGAATGGATACAGCTTTTTAGTGGAGAGTAAAAACTACCTGAAAACACAATAATTTTTTTTTTAATTTTACTAACTTTGTCACAACAAGAATACATGACAAATAACAATAATTACATATATAACTATAACATTACAAATGTGACAGGAAATCACAACAGCTTCAGGCCAATTACTGTGATCCCAAAACATAAACGTACAAGTACTGTACAGTTTTACACAAACATACACACACACACATAGACACACATATATGTATATATAGATGCAGATCTAATTTAAAAACAACATGCAATAGGTTTGGTTAGGTCCCGGGCCTGGTTACATTTCAGGCAAATTGTTTTCCACGACAGAGGATCATCCACATTATAATTCCTATCTAATGCGGTATAGTAATATTTAATTAAGAGATTTTTAAAGGTTATTCAAAACTCATTAATAATTCATGAAGCAATTATCCAATCTTGAGTAAGAAATTAGTCATGTGCATATATATACGTCTTTATACCAGCTAATGAACACTTTAACAAAAGACCATTGTTATGCAAACTATATAAAGATTTTATATAAAGATTTTTCATATTCAGATTTGACTTATTATGCAAACGTTTTTGAAGCCATTTAAAAAAACTCGCAGGTTGTGTTTTATTAGGTTTTTATTAGGTATTAGGCTTTAAACTTAATAGAACACTCCTGCTCGTTTTTTAAATAGTTCTTAGAGAGTTATATTTATCGGTTATTGATCCTGGTAATATGTTCCATATTCTTGTTATTCTTATTGTATAAGTCTGTTGGTACTGTACTGTAGGTAGAGGTTTTACATTTCCTAACTTGGAAGTTTATGGAGTTCGGATCCACTGATCTTGTAATTTGTGAGTTTTCTTTATGTTTGGGAACAACTGCATCCGAGAGGCACCTGATACCGCAATTTGCCTTGGGAAAAATAACATGTATAAGGACTTCTATAATTATTTGAAGTACTTTACAAAAACTTATTTTCTGCTCTACCTATATTATCACTGCAACACTTAAAAGTTCTGATGTGAAAGATGTCTTAGAAAAACTTTATAAACAAGTATTGACAGTATGACCAAATAAATTTTAGGTCACAACTGGAAAATCTGTCGTTGAAAGATGAAATCTTCAACACTTTTACTGGTCATGGTGGAGACGAGCCAGAAGACAAGGTGGAAGCAGGAGGGGATGGGGTTGCAAGTAATAAGTATGTGTCGACTGTATGGGAAGTGACACCTCAGGAAGCAATCAGACTGGAAAAGTGCATTGTATACACAGACACTTTAATGGAGCTGCTAAAGTCACTACACGGTAGTGTTTGTGTGAGAGTTGGCTGTAAACGAGCATTGATTTATCACACCACCTATGTTGGCACATGTCTTGTTGTGTCCTGGAAGTGTGATTCTGGTCATGTTGGTGGAAGGTGGGCTGCACAACCTTCATGTAGCAACATCAGAGCAGGAAATCTAATGCTGGCGTCTGCTTTGCTCTTGTCCGGAAACTCATACACCAAAGTGGGGTTGATGTTCAACTTCTGTAATTTGCAGTATTTTTCGCAAACACTGTTCAATCAGTATCAGCAGTTGTACATCACCCCTGCGATCAATGAGTTTTGGGAACAGACAAAGCAGCAACTTTGGGAGGATAAACGAGGGAAAGATGTTGTGTTGAGTGGCGATGGCAGGAATGATTCCCCTGGTCACTCAGCTCAATACTGTACATATAGCCTTGCTGACATGGATGACAACACCATTCTTCAAATGGATATTGTGGATGTGAGGGAAGCTGGAGGAAAAAGCAACAACATGGAGAGGATTGGCTTCGAAAAAGCAATGGGTGTGCTTCTGGCATCACCGATTGTTGCAAAGGAGGTGGTGACTGATGGTCACCTTGAAATTGCAGCTTTAATGAGTAAGTGCCTAAATTGATATTAATTGTCTACCAGGGGCGGATCTAGGATTTTTCGTACGTTAGTCAAACATTTCGTTGCTGAACATTGGGGGAGGGGGTACTTTTGACTGGCGGAGGGGGTACTTTTGACTGGCGGAGGGGGTACTTTTGACGAGGGGTCAGAGGGGGGGGGGGGTTTGCCAAGCAAATTAATATTTTTTATATGTGTTCTGTTTACGAAAAAATGTAACTTAAAAAATTGCTTTTTCGCCGAATGTCAAACAGATATCCAATTCTCATCGAGAAATAGATTGACAAGGATGACTTGACGTTTTAAAAATTGTTATTTAATCGCATATTTTTTCCTTTGACATGGAACAGGATGGTCAAAAAAATGCAATATAGTGATGCAGTTTAAAACATTTGATTGTTGTTAAGCAGGAAGAGAATTTCCACGTTTAATTCACTGCTCCTCGAGTTTCATTCGTAGCAGAAACATGCGCCATAAATAAGTATTCACAATGGCAACATGATCCATTTTACTTGTTGTGTACATGTTGTAGAGATCGTATTACACAAGGCCATGCTACATTGTCGTGCCATTGTAGTTTAAAATATTAAATAGGTATAAAGAGTGTTATCAAGTAGCGATCTGATTAATATATAAAGTCTACATGCCACAAGAAGCATAAACAAAGTATAAACACACTGAAACTGCCTGTATTTAAGCCGCAATATTTATATAAATTGACGGAAATATTATGTAAATTTCGTCTCGTATTATTATACGTCTTATACGCGTACCCGCCGATATTATAGCATGCATGTGCGTACAGACGCACAATCCACCGTCGTATACAACAGTTTACAGTTATAATGCTATATCTAGTTAAAATAGAATATATATCTCTTAAGTTAAGGCCGTACAAAAGATTTTTGTCTTCTCTCGAACGTACTTCAGGATTCCGCACCAAAATTTCGTGCGAGGAAGGCTGCTTATGTTAATATTCACAACGCTCAATAAATCTTTAATAAAAAGCTTCGGTAGACCATTACTCGCTTGTTTAAATCAGCTTCAATATCTTTGACATTTTGTCGATCGTCATGCTCTAAAGCAGCCTTTACAGTTTCATAAATACTAACAGACATGGCTGGTATTAGTTCAGAATTTCCGATAGTAAATCTTCCCATTGAACTTTAATAATTTGCGGTCAAGCACAAAGTAGCGATCAGAAGGGGCCCGAAACGTCCCTTTCCGTGCACTAATGAAGCCTGAACGGTATGATCGATCAAAAAAATCCAGCCAATGGGAATTCAGGATTGTTTTGAATTAGCCAATCGGATAGCCTGTATTCGAGCCCCTGATCGCTTTAGCGATCAGAACTCCCCACAGATCGCGCAAAAATCGAGATAGCCAATCAGATGGCTGGAATCTGACTCAGAGCGTGCAAAACTCATGCGTAAGACCGCTTTTCTGCGCGTTCATGTTCGAAGGCCTTGCTACTGAATGATATTTCAAAACTGGACTGTTAAACTTTCAATACATTACACTGCGCGAAGTTTGATAACTGGACTGCTATTTTAATTTAACAATTTTCCATTTTTCTGGCCAATTTTTACCTTAGTCGCGTGATCGCTCTGATCACCCCTAGATCCGCCCCTGTTGTCTACAGTATTATACAGTAAGTACAGTACAGTGGCAATCTAAATTCTTTTAAACTGCAATGTATCATATGTTGTTGGTTTTTACTTTGCATACTGTGATGCCAGATGATCATACTAGAAAAGGGATCTACTATTTGTTGTTAATGGTTAACCGGACTAATCTGCATGTGCCTCTTGCTTCAACTGTAAATCCAGATGGTTTAATCATGAAGTGTATGATATAACTATATATCAATACAGAAAAAATGTTTTATATTTTTTTATAATATAGCAATGTCAAAAGCCCGAAGGATAAGAAAAATTCCGTGTTTACAAGCGGCGGAAAATTTCCCGTGTTGACATTGAGTTATATCAACACGGCTCTTAGCCAATCAGCGTTCAGAATTTACAAATGCTATATAATAAATTTTATTTATTATATAGAAAGGGATGACAAGTACAAGAATGTACAGCACCAAAATGATGTTTGGCATGGTGGTAAAAATATAACAAAGAAAATCAATGCTGTGAGTTTATATTCTAGAGAATAATAATAGTGCAAAAAGGAATATTTAAAAGCTGGTATATGAAATGTGTCATGTACAATAAATTTATCCTGCCTTCATTGTTTAGGCAGCAAAAACTAAAGCCAATGAAGACTGCCAACTTTGGGCCAAGTCTGTTACAAATCATTTCTGGTATTGTTCAAAAAACTGTGGTAATGATGCTAAAGATCTCAAGGTAAGATTGGGCTTTTATATCCATCAAATACAATAATTAGCGTTTAATTAATAGTTGTCCGATAACAGGGAGTTAATAAAATGGTATATACAGTATACTGTACAATACACATCAAAATTCTGAACATTTCAAGGAAAGGACTTTAATTAATTGTACAGTACGGAACTTTATATAGTAGAGGTGTGCATTGAATCGGACGTTTATAATCCGACAATTGGCTAATGTTTGAAATTTGATCCAATCCGAAATTGTCTAATCCGAATCCAGTTTCGGATCAGATTTGCACACCTCTAGTATATAGAGTAGACCGACCATGATTTTCTTTTCTGTTTGATCAATTGCTTCGTAAATAAACGTACATTGGGTCATTCCAGAAAACATCCATACCTCCCCCATGGAGAAAATTGGATGTGTGGATCCTTTCTGCAACAACCCATTGTACTTATAATTTTAACAGGATAAATGGACTGGGATCTTACATCATGTTGTTGATGAGCATGAATGGGTTTTGGAAGAAGGAAAAAATGGAGGAAGATGCAATCATAACTTACTGGATGATAATGAGAGGGTGAAGCCTTGGTTGAAGAAAGAATCTTCGGCACATAAGGCATTAACCAAGATTGTGTTGGATACAAGATTCCTAAACACATTACGTTACTATACAAACTTCAGGTAAGAATTTTAATATCCATGTTGAAATTAGGCTATTACTGTAAGCTGCAATGTACCTTACTTTGTTTTTAGTCTGATGTAAAATGACTAGTAAAATCATCTGGTGTTAAACAGAGTAAATTAATAACGTAGGGTACATTGCAGCTTAACCAATTAACAGGCAAGACTCTTCCGTTGACATTAAGTCAAATTGTCTGACATTAGAGAGTAAAATGCTGTGTAATGGTGCATGCGCCAAGGATTAATTAGAATAGTACATGCTCTCTCTGTATATGCAACACTCATCTATGTGACAATTTATATGTACATCTAATGTTTGTAGACACACTGGCTTTTTGGAATCCTTCCACAACCACATTTTAATGTATGCTCCAAAACGTCACTCTTACTCGTAAGTACTGTAGTTGCGTTTTTGTTAGTTCCTCAAATATTAACTTGTTGCACAAGCAGAGCCTTTATTAAACTCTAAAAAAGTTTATCTCAAATCCATAGATTTGTTGGATACCGTGCTAGAAACCAATTGGCAGCACTGGATTATAACCATCACAAGGGAAGAGAACAAGCAACCACAGCTGATGGTCAACTAAGGTATATTAATTGAAAAATATCCAAAGGCAATTTATTATTATACAAATAATGAATGTTTATGAGTGCAATGGTAAGAATATTTCCACGAGGTGAAAGATGGAATGTTCCATTCAACGAGGCAACAGCCAAGTTAAATGGAATTATTATTATTGATGAATATTTTAACAGGATAAAAACGTCAGTTATGTAATGTTTGTCCTGAACATTTCATCTTTCACCGAATGAAAATATTCTTGCCGTTGCACGAAGAAGCATTCATTATTTGTTTTATATAATACCAAAATAGACTAATAGATTCGTATGAGAAGCATTTTGACGGATGTGATTTATCAAAAACATAAAGAGTGCAATGGAATAAAACGTATAGTACAATTGCACTCGTGAAGAGTGCAATGGAACGTATTCCATTGCACTCTTGGGAAATGGAATTTTCTATTCAATATCACGTGACCATAAACAGCCAATTAAACGATCAGAATTTAATTATATTATACAAATAATGAATGTTTATGAGTGCAATGGTAAGAATATTTTCATGAGGTGAAAGATGGAATGTTCCATTCAACGAGGCGACAGCCGAGTTGAATGGAACATTCCATCTTTCACCGAATGAAAATATTCTTACCATTGCACGAAGAAACATTCATTATCTGTTTTATATAATGCCAAAATAGTTTAAATAGACTAATAAATTCGTATGAGAAGCATTTTGAGGGATGTGATTTATCGAAAACACAAAGAGTGCAATTGTACTATACGTTTTATTCCATTGCACTCGCGGAGAGTGCAATGGAACGTGTTCCATTGCACTCTTGGGAAATGGAATTTTCTATTCAATATCACGTGACCATAAACAGCCAATTAAACGATTAGAATTTAATAAGGTATTATATAAAAATTTATATGTACTGTAGCATATGTGCATTCTCTATGAGGGAAAGGTTCCAGGAAAGTAAACCTTTCCCTTTAGAAACTAGACATAGCTGGCTAATTTATGTATGTAGAGCTACTTCCAATTAACCAAACTACAAGAGAACAAGGGGACAAATGACCTGACACAGCATCATACTGTAGTTAGAAAGTCTGAAATCCTTTCAATAATTTGTGGGAAAAAGTCAGTTAATTTGGACAGTATGTGAAGCGCTGCTTTAAGTACATTTATAAAGTTTAGTTTGTTTCTAGATTTGGAAGGAGATTCAGCAAGCGAACACAGAGATGGTGCCATGTGAAGATTCTGGAGCCTAAACAGTACAGTTATATCAACAAACTGCTGTTGAAGGTTTTTGAAAAAAGGTCGAGCTCTAAGGGAACTGTAGACCAGAGAATTGGTGTATTGCCAGAAGATCCAAAACAGATTGCTCCCAATATTGCTTCAATCCCTCCCCCAACAGTAAAATCACTGGTTGAAGAACACAAATCTTGATTTTAAATTAACAATAACAGACATGCACATGTACATTAGTATAATTATTTACAGTAGCTATATATAGTATCAAGTATAGTAATGCCTGTCGGTCCTATCATAATTATTTACAGTACAGTAATACCTAACCTAACAGTTTGTTCAAACTATTACAGCAAATTCAGTTTGAGCATATACATGTTTGTCATGCTTGTCGGCATTACAATGGGACATTTCTACAGTATAGGTGTAAAAGAATTAGTTGTCACTGAAATGTTGCTGCATAAATAGCTATTTATATAGTAACATATATTTTTACAAGTTACTACTCATTCTTGTACACCTGGACATGCCTGATTACATACATACAAATGTAATAAAAAGTGTCTGAAAAACAAAGCAAAGTTGACATTTTCTTTGTATACATAATCTTATACAGGTAGTGAAAAGAGGTTTTAGGAATTTCTGAATTTGTACATAACAAAAATGTCTTTATCAACAAATAACCATTTAAAAAATGTGATTACAAAGTCCAAATTATTATATTATAGTCGTGCAGGCCTATAACCTGTGTACACTTAGGAGAAGGGTAACGACTGCGTATAGCCAGTACACAGCAACTTGGAACTACTCTCCGATTTCCTCTCCCTAAACGTCCATGTTGCCATAATACAAATTGCCTATAGGCTGCATGGCGAAAATTTTCATTATTTCTATTATTGTTGAGGACCAGGACATCTTCTCTGTACCTCATGGCAATATCCAAAATATTTGCATCTAGGACAATTTGATTAAAAAGTGCTTGTCTTGAAACGCAAGGTCTTCTTGTTTGAGCACAGCATTTATTCTCCTCCTGAGTGGGCATTGCCATACAGTGACCACAGTTGCACCACTCAGGGGTATTATCAGGGTCAGGATCTGGAGCTCCATTTCCTCCTGGCAATTCTCCACTCACTATGTCAGCAAATGTGGCTGGCTGCCTACGCAGTAATTCCAAGGCCAGCCTACGCAAGACATCAATTTCCATACCTTCCACTAGGTTCTGAAAAGTTAACATATAGGTATCATTGTTAAGTCAATCACAAATATTTGACTTCTGGCATTAGATTGGGTCAAATAATGATACAGGGAAATTGTAGCAGATATTTATTTTTAACTGTTAATTAATACTCTTGTACTCAGAGCTTGAGGAGTAAAATTGTCAGGCATTAGAGCAAACAATAAACAGTTGGCCTCCTGATGACTTAATGGTGTTAACCAAATAAGTACATTGTACCATACAGTAGTTTTCATCTGTATAATGATAGACAATTTTACTTGTCAAGGGAAGATTTTTGCATTTAATGGGTGATCATGTGGCCAAAATGATCATTGAGATGCACACAAGATATTTTAGATGGTGATCAATATGAACCAATAATGAATATATTGTATAGAAGGCTTGTTAATATCTATATATTTTGTTTATAAGTACTCGTGACTGGTTGTAATAAAAAACCAGTTAATATGAAAATCAGAAACTTACTGTCGTTCCAATTAAAGTGTGGCTCAAATATTGATTCGATACATTACCTCGGGCTGATCAATTCATTTGATCAAGTTCCTCGAGATGAATATTCATACACTTCCTGGTATAATTGTAAACTTCCTGTTGAATAGTTTGAATGCACCAATCACCTTTGTTGTTTGTGCAACTAACCAATCATAAATAGGAAGTGACCAGAAATGATCAAATACTTGGAATTGGCTTTTTCACAGGAAGTGTATGAAATATCTCGAGGAACTTGATGAAATGAATTGGTCAGCCCGAGGTAATGTATTGAATCAATATTTGAGCAACACTTCAATTGGAACGACAGTAAAGTCTGTGCAAAAAACTAGTAGTGTGTATGCAATTTGATGTTATGTAGCATATAACTAGGTCTACAATGAGGTTTTTAACAATTAGTTTGCTTACCACTAGTTGTTGTTCATGATTATGTTGGTTTTCAGCAGCGCTAGGTTCTTCCTCCAGTTGCCTTCGTCCACCTCTTCCTCTGGTACTTTGTCCACCTCTTCCTCTGGTACTTTGTCCACCTTTTCCTCTGGTACTTTGTCCACCTCTTTTTGCACCTTGTCCCCTTCCACCTCGTCCATGCCCTCCTCTTGTGCCTCTTCCCCTTGCCCCACTTCCTTTGCCCTCCTTTCTTGTTGTTTTCGTTCCTCTTCCCCTACCTCTTGCTCTCCCTCTTGTCTGCACCCCCTTGCTTTCTTCACTTTGCTCACTATCATACTCTTCACTCTCATCATCTTTACTCTCTGTATCTTCATCTTGGATAGAAAAATCAGAATCCTAAAACAGCAAGAGAGAATATACTGTAAGCGAAGCCAAAGGGTCAATTTTCCAATGGTATGAACTATGAGCTTACGCAGTTGTAATATACAAACAAGTCCAAAACATACCCGCTGATAAAGACACTATATTATTTTTTAAAACTATTATGAAGTGCGTTTCCAAACGTTATATTCTCGTATCAAATTCACGTTTGTGCTTTATATAAATTATAATATAAACATAGTCCTTTGGCTTTGTGTCAGGACTTAATGCAAAACCGGAACTACACATGAAAGCTCCCTTTGTCTTGCCCTGTTTGTATCGCATTACATATGTAAATGATGTTAAAAACACAAAGAAGCTACTGCCTGCTTTATATTCATGCGCCAAATTTTCACCGAATACCACCTAAGGTACTAAATAGACTTACTGTGTTTTCGCTATCGCTTTCTTGGGCCCTTTTGTTGTTCATGCAACAACCCAAATTTTCGATTACGCCATGACACACACTCGAACAAAACGTATTCAAACTTCTGCACGGACAAAAGTTTCGTCCTTTTTCTTTTAGACAATGGCCGCGGCATTTGCATATAGTTAAATTATCTACATTAGGCAATGCTGTGGCTTCTATCTGGCTTACTTCGAATTCTTCGAGCGAAAAGCACCCTTCGCTTGCGTTGTCGGCCATAATGGATCGACAGTGAAATTTAATCAGATGTATTGGGTAATAGTAATACTTCATGTTATAGAATTATAATGTTCGTAAACAAACGGTCAAAAAACGTAAACAAACTCCGCACATGCGCAGAACGGACTGTAGACCATCTTTAATATAAGTTCCACCAAGACATAAATAAATAATATATGGACTCGAAAGTACAAATAAATTACGAAATACTCCATCAAACAAAGCCAAATAGACATCAAAATGTTCCGAATGACAAGACAAATACAGTTCCAACGAAAGTTCAGCAAACAACGTACACAGACAGGAAAAAACACGAATACAATCCGTAAAATACAAAATGAGACGCGATAATTATTCCAAATTTTACCAACGGTCAAAATCCAAAATTAAACAGGAACAATATAATTTGAGTATAATATAATTTGGTGGAAGTCTCGGTTCACAGAGCAAATTTGAAACAAATTCAATAAGTAGTTCACGAGATAATAAGACTAATAACAGAAAACCAAAATTCCAGATTCATAGTGGGATAAATCCAAATAGCTATACTTTGACAATAAATAAAAGCGATAATAAGAAACAATGAGTCTTTATCTTCAATTCAATACGGTGTATGAATTTCTTCGATCAAAAATAAACTATAAACTAGAAATACATGCATGCAACAACCCCTCGCCTATATTTTCCAAACATTGTTTCAACATGAAGTATTCGTAATTACGCCAACACTGAACGCAGGCTCGCGTTGCCACGTCATGTTAGGCATGGCACAGATGATAGATAATACCAGATGAATCACTCTATACCCTCTCTCCTCCGCAGAGGCTTTTAAAGAATATGAAATTCGAAGGAATTGAAATTGTGCTAGAAGGTATCTGGTATGAAGAGAACCACTGAAAATCGGCGCGAGGGGAAGGGAAGGAAAAAATAGCGGAAGCCTCTGCCCGACTTGTGTGTCGATATCTGTGACAAATTAGCGATATCTGTAGCATCCGTATATTATCTCAACAGTCCTTTCTGTTTTTAAATTTTATTTGATAATGTGAAGAAGACATTTTGGATAAAGATCTATTGGCCAATGTATATATTTTGGTATAATATTGTGTTTATGAGATTGAATGAATGAAAATAATAAATAGTTTTGGCAAGGACCATTATGGTCTAAATATAGCCCAAACAACTTCTCTGTCTCGTTTGAACAACACAACACCATGCTCTCACGATCGCCTTCAACATCAAAAATCTTGTCATTTTCAATATCTTATATTAATTAAAACACACATTCACTGTAAAATACATCCGCAATTTAAAGTATATAAAGCTGAACTATTATCATCGAATTCTGTGCCTTTGTGTGTAATTCGGTGCCTTTGTGTGTAATTCGGTAATGTTGTTGAAGGCCTACTTGACTAAATATATCTGTTGTTTGTGAACCACAGACAGCACAACACGTTTTCCTGCTCCGCAAAGCCAAAATAAATTGCCTTCGTGGACATGAATAATTCATACGCAACTGAGCCATTTTGCCAAACTGCTCAAGAATCTGCACAAGTCTCTCTTCCCCCCGGTTTAACGCCATATTGGGACATAAATCGGGCAGAGGCTTCCGCTATTTTTTCCTTCCCTTCCCCTCGCCTGTGCGCCGATTTTCAGCGGTTGTCTTCATACCAGATACCTTCTTGCGCAATTTAAAAGCCTCTGCGTAGGAGAGAGCTCTATACCTATCCCTATGATTTTCGTGTCTGCGACTTTCGTGAGGCTATCACGCCAAATGACGCGTGCGACACTTACTGCCAAAATGGCGGCGAGAACATCGCGTCTATGATCGTGTCAGAAGTACATTTCGCATCGGCATTGCCATTTGCCAATGGCGATTATGACGGCCTGTGAATTCGAAAATGGAAAATTGTTGAACACTAATACAGTAATACTAAATTCATTATTCATAAACATGTCCACACAACCACATTTGCTTTATACTTTCCATATTACTTATTTACTGGTTCAGTGCAGATGTCCTCAAGATCAGTTTAAAAAAGGTAAGAATGTTTATGTATAAAGAGTGCTTTGCACAACGTGTATGACATTTTATAATAGGTATATTTATTGTCATTCTTGATTTGTATAAAATTATGCTTCCCGAACCGTGTATTAAATATAATCATGTGTGTGACTCAAATAGTCGCATATAGTATAATTTTAGTCAAATTTACACCAGTAGTGACAGTACTGAATGACAAGAAACATTGTTAATATTTTGTTGTTTAATAGTTCTATTGTGTCTGACGTTTTGGTTCCCCAGCACTGCTGCACTGACAGGTTGATAGTGATGGGCTATCATCCGATTCCCTTTGGAATTCTGGTACAGAAAATAATGTTGTGTTGAAGGCTAAGTTTTTTGTAGTGTCAACTCCGGTATGAAAAATAGACATTTTGTGTTTATTTTCGTATCAAAATCTGTATAAACCAATACCGATCTTCAAAGTATCGGTATCAAATTAAAAATCTTGGTATCGTTTATTAAAACAATTTAATAGCACTTCATGACATCACAGATTATAGATCATAGAGTATAATCTGTGATCACATGAACACCAGTGGAAGTAGCAACATGTACATGTGTGGAATTTGCAGATAATTATAAGGTAGGGTACAGTCCATATGTAAACAAAGCCTTTGTTTACATTTCAGTATTCAAAATTTTGAACTTTATTTGACTCTATTTATATTTTAATGCTTCTACAGTATAATAAATAATCAAAATACAACAATCAGGCTTTGCAAGAACATAAAATGAAATAAAAACCTAATTAAAGTGTTTATATCACGGCAGGAGAAACAGGAACCGAAACGTCAGAGTTTAAATAAAATTATTAAATAAAAGTAAAAAAATCTGTTGAAATCAAAACAGTTAAGAATATACCCGGATACAAACAAGAAACTTTGTATTTGTTTATATAATAGTATGGTTTCGAGTGCAATGTGGGGAAAACATTAAGCCACTACTACTACTAGTAAAGATTTCAATGGAATCTGATTGGGGGATATCCGTGAATATGCTGATTTCTTCGACACCTTTCGGTGAGCACCAATGCTTTCACATGAACACCAAATTATATTTTGGTGTAAAATATAAGTAACATATTTACTTACTTGACCGCCGTTGTTACCCTCGGCTAAATGGCGGTCTCGGGTCCACAAAACACACTGTTTCCCTCAGTCTCAGTAAATAAGTGATAAATAATTAATTAATGTCATAATATTACATGCATTGCTATTATTATACCTTGGGAGGTGTTAGGTGTGCTTGTAACAGCAGCAGCAAGGAACGACGATATTGTTTGCATATCATAGTCTAAAAAACATTATACTTAGATCTAACTGTAGTATAACTAATAATAATTAATGTCGAAAGATTACATTGCTATTATTATACCTTGGGACGTATTTGGTGTACTTGTAACAGCAGCAAGAGACGACAATGTTGTTGGCATATCAAAAGTCTAAAAAACATTACCATTAAACTTAGCTCTAATTATAACTAATAATAATTAATTAATGTTGTTATATTACATGCATACAATGCTATTATTATATCTTGGGAGGTGTTAGATGTGCTTGTAACAGCAGCAGCAAGGAACGACGATATTGTTTGCATATCATGGTCTAAAAAACATTATACTTAGATCTAACTGTAGTAGACTTTACCTGTAGTATATGTTACTTTACCTGTATCTTCTGGATACTTGAAATGGCCTACGTTTACAGTCATATTTTCTATTGGCGTCATAGGTGTGTAAATAGTTCAATAAAGAAATTATCATATATTTACTGCTATTATGTTAAAGGTCTTGGCTCTTATATCTATACAGGGTGCAGTATAGGCTCGATTTGATGATTCAGTCACAGTGATTCTATGATCTTACTAGGGACAAGGTTGAGATTATTGGGGTGTATACAGTACCAGTAGTCTTTTAATATTGTTACAATATTAATTGCACAAATATATATTTCTTCGATTTTGCCTGTAATTTCTATCCTATATCCATAACCCTAACGTAACTTGTTAGTTCTTGTCAGTGGCGGCGCCAAGGGGAGGGATGTCCCCCTCCCAATTATTCCCCCCCCCCACATTTTTCCCCCCCCAAAAAAATTATTAGTCACTGAGACCGACTAAAGGCTACACAAGCGTTTTGTCGTTTTCGGAAAATGTATGGCTTATAAATTGTCATTACTCAGTGAATGCACGTATACATGAAATTTTTTTACAGTTTCAATATTAGATTGTAAATCTCTGAATGGTAAAACTTGCCAATACTCCAATAATACGTTTCAAAAAAGACAAAAAAGCTTTAGTTTTGCGTTAAATCCCCTGGGGGGGGGGGGCAAAAGTCCTGTGACAACGGCATGGGCAAATAGCCGTACATTTTTAAAAATTTGATCTTGCCTCCTCCCCCAAATACGAGTTTGTCCCTCAAATGCCCCCCCCCCCAAAAAAAATTCTGAGGCCTGGCGCCGCCACTGGTTATTGTGCATTCTCTTATTACATTAACAAATATTAAACATTTTCCATTTTGTTAATTAATACTTTGTACATTTGTTTTATACTTTGTGGCCTTGATGTGAAATAACAGGTTTAACAACGTTCCGTGCACACAAGCAACAAACTTGTCAAGGGCGAACAACTGTGCTCAAGGAAAACTTGTTGATCTTAAAACACACGAGAAGATAAACTTATCAATAAAACTTGTAATGGAAAACTTGCTCCTCTGCATGTATATACGGGGATTTAAAGTTCCAGGTTGTAAAAACTAGTCTAAAGGATGGAATAAAACCCCATGAGTATAATGAAACGACTAGCCAGCCA